GGCTGGTGAGGGCGAGGGAAACATCCCTGCAGGATCTGCTACTGGGGGTACAGGGCAAGCACATTTCTTAGTTTTAGAAAGAAAGTTGTCTTCCTAGAAAAATTAATAGAAAAGTATAAACCAGACTTCAATAGAAGTTTTATTCATCAGGGTAAAACTTAAGCAATTTTATCTTCTTTTGGTTTTCTATAATTTATATTGAAAATAAAATAAATAGTAATTGATTAAATTTTAAAAGTTAGCTTTTATGACTGTCAGGTCATAATGATTATATAATATTAAGCAAAGGGAAAAACAAAATTTTTTAAAAACACCATATGCTCAGAAAAATAATGGGAGAATATACAATAGAATATTAGCAGTGGTGTCCTTATGTAATAGAAGGGCTCGATTTTCTCACTTTTTACCTTCTGCATTTTTCAATTGTTCTATAACAGGTATGCATTGCCTTCATGCTAGAAGAACATCTGAAACATGTGTATGCCCAGTGAGCCAAGTTTTTGTAATAAAAAACTAGAATAATATAGGGACCACTGTTCCTATATAACAGATAAACCACAGTGGGTTTTGGTGTTTTATCCCCAGCTCAACACCTGCAGATTGTTACAAATCGACAACAGTAATCCACTGCTAGCTACAGCCACACACACACCTCTCTCTCTCTCTCTCTCTCTCTCTCTCTCTCTCTCACACACACACACCAGGAATTGAATCCAAGGATGTTGACCACTAAGCCACATCCCCAGCCCTTTTTAATTTTGAGTCAGGGTTTCGCTAGGTTGCTTACAACCTCACCAACTTGCTAAGGCTGGCTTTGAACACAAGCCGGGATTACAGGTGTGCATCATCACATTTGGCTCATCATTTATCTTGAGAGTCATTGGCCCACAAAACTAAAGAGTTGAGGAGTTTTTCCAAGACTACATCCAAATAAGTACTGAAAATAAATGACAAGTTCAAAAATAAAACTTGCATGCTGTGATTCCACAAAGAACTGTTTGAATGTAGAGAAGATAATATTCAGAGTAATCTTATAGAAATATACAATAGTAGCATCATATGAAAAATCACTAGGTAGAAGGAAATCAACTATTTTCTGTCCCTACTAGAGAACAGATTAAATAGGTTTAGTGTTAGGAGTGTTTTAACCATACCATCAGTCTTGTTGAGTGCAAAAAGCTCTGAGCTAAAAAATAAATTGGAATTTGAAGAAAAACAAAATTTAACACTTACTGCATTGCCACACGGTGGCTCCTATGTTCTCTTGCCACTGAACAGTCCTAATGACATTTTTACTGTCTTACCTAAACCACAAAGTTAAATTATAAATGAAAATCCATAGAAAATGTGGGGAAACTAGAGAACAGTCTTTTCCTATTTTCCCAGAATCTTTGAATTAGATAAATTAGAGCTATGTATACATACAGGGTAGACAGGAGCAATGCCTGGCTGAAAAAGTATCTGTAGACTTCTTTCTAGCTCTCTGTATACTGTGACAAAGCCTTAAAATAAGGTTTAAAAACACCTACCAATAAAACAAGTAAAATATGCCCTAAAATTTTAATGGTACTACTTCATTTTTCATAATACTCGACCACTGGAATATAGCTTTGGAATTTAATAACAAAATATTTTAAACAAATATTTAATGTTTTATATATTTATGCTACTATGCTCTAAATGAATATATTTATACTATGGCACTTGAAAACGTCTATCAAAGTGGGGTCTTTGCTATTTTGACCATCCTCAATTAATCATTCTTATTTTCACCTCTGAAGAGCTTAATCACATTGACTCAAATTCCTCTGAACTGTTTTTTKTTKTTGTTGTTGTTGTTGTTGTTGTTATTGTTGTTTGGTTTTGTTTTGTTTTGGTACTGGGGACTGAACCCAGAGGTGCTTAACCACTGAGCCACATCCTCACCAGCCTTTTTTTTTTTTTTTTTTTTTTAAATTTGAGTCAGAGTCTCACCAAGTGTCTTACGGCCTTGCTAAGTTGCTGAAGCTGGCCTTGAGCTTGTGGTCCTCCTGCCTCAGCCTCCTGAGTCTTTGGAATTACAGCCATGCACCACCATACCCATTTTTCATAAGGAAAAAAATGGAAGGAGATATAGTGAAATGGCTTATGATACCCATGGTAATACTAAGGGTAAAATGTCCAAAATGTAATCAATTCTTTAGATAAACTCACATTATACATAGCTTTGAACAAAAAAGATAAAAGAATTAGATGTTGATGTCAATGTTTTCAGAAAAAGATACAGCAATGAATATAAAAGCATTATTATGTTATTACAGATGATTTATAAAAACAACTAGCCTAACAATATAAATCTCCTTAAAATGCAAACACTATATTATCTCAACATGAATTACAGAATAAGATGTTTTTCTAGTAAATTGTGAAAATTGAAATTCATTTTTAGATAACACTCAGAAAATAAAAAATACTGTTCCTATTTTAATTCAGCATGTATTTCTCAAAATCAGATACACCATGAACATGATGAGTTTAGATTATACTTTTACATCTTCTTTAGCTAACCAAGTGAAAAACCCAATACACACATAGGTACTTTGATCAGTACACAAAATAGCAATAGGTAAGCAGTTTAGAAAACAGAACACAATTAAAGCAATATAATAATGGTACAGAGGCACCCATTTAACCCCAAAAGAAATATGTGGGCCACAAAATACTGTTCCATCTAACCTCTAGATAGTCTGTATATTTTGACCTTATAGTAGTCAAAATATTTAGTATTAAAGTAAAGCTCAGGTTCTACTACCTGTAAAGGTCTAATATAGGGCTTGGTTTGTGGCTTGATGATAGAACACTTGCCTAGCATTTGTGAGGCACTGGGTTTGATTCTCAGCACCACATTTAATAAATGAAGGTCCATTGACAACTAAAAAAAAAAAAAAGACCTAATGCAGCAGGAAAAAAATGCCATTTTATGCTACTAATGATTTTTAACTAAATCTTTTATATTATGTGTTTAGCACATGAAAAATTATATACAGATTTTTAAAAATCAAAAGGGAAATTTCTACATACATTAAATCTATCATTTCTGTCTTTGCACTGCTAATATAGTGTTTAAATTATGCAAACAAACATCCAGTAAACAGTATTTTATTTTATGACACTCTGTGTTAATACAATAAATATACAAAACTTCCAAACCACTAAAAACATGCAACATCAGAGGGACAGATGAAAGGCATTTATACAGAACCAGGACAGTCACCATGATGGCAGCGCAGTATTACTACCCGACAAAATATACACACACCCTAGACAAAGAGTCCAAGTTCTAAATTACAAGTCGTTGAGCAATGATTTTCCAGTGTTCAAACTGTAGTTTTAAATAAAACAGCCATGATTTAATATTGCAAACTGAAAAATGGCCTGGTGCCTACTATGCGAAGACCATTTTAGGACTGGGATACTGGGCCATTTTTAGCTTTAAATATAAAACACTAATAAGTGTCAATTTTTTTGCTGAGTGAAAATGTAATTATTTACTGGTTATTAAGAGAATAGTGAATATAAGAATTTAAAGCTGTTTCATATCTGATCAAACTGTAGGCACTGTCATCATCTCAATGCAGTATTTTTCAAACCATGATTTCTCTCTCAAACTTGTATTAACCCCCAAAATGGTTTTAAAATGGGATTTCCTCCATTTATTCATGAGAAGATATTGTGGGTTGGAATTATTCTTTGGGGATTTCTACATAAGAGAAACAATCCAATTCTGAAGGGAAACATAATAGTATTTTCCAAAATCATCTGACATCTTTTATTTGTAGTTCAGAGAAAAACAAAAATGGACTTGGGATATAAGTCAATGGTGGCTCTAAGTGCTCTTGTACTCTGTGGTTAGTATTTTGAACGTCTGTAAAATCCACCCTCAATAAAGCACACTGATGAAACAGATTTTCATTAAGATTATAGGCTCTAAAAAAATAGAAGTGCTGAGTTGGTTGAAAATGTAGATGAAGATTATCATTGATCAGAAATACTTATAAAAACAGCTTTAAATTCATATTCTGAATCACATTTTCTTCAGAATAGAAGAAATATCTTCCAACTATATTATTACTCAATAAAGTATCAAATAAATCAAATGTAAACACCATCTGGATGTATCTGCATTACCTAGTATCACACAGAGCTTCTTCATAAATAGGAAGAACTTGGCATCCCACCCCCGGCAGGAAATTATTTTAATTCCAGATTTAGGAAGAGAATAAAAGTGACTTAACCATTTATGTTTTAAAAAAGGGGGATTTGCTGTCTCAAATAATAGAGTCCCATAGACCATCCTTACTTAAAATCAAGTTGAATAAATCACTACCTGTCATTCTAGAATCTAAAATTAGCTGAAGACTTTCAAAACACAGTAGTATCACTTACAAATGCTTTTAATTCATTTAATCTGTACTAAAAACAACTTAAAGTTTGAACCCATGTATACCATAAGAATGAAGTTTTATGCTGTATAGTAACAATTTAAACGTGATTATGTTCACAATTAATGCATTTAACTGTATTTGTATTTATTTGTTTGGTGCAATGTTTTGTTTTTCCTATTGCTGAATTTTAAATGTATTCAGTCTGTCTCAAAAACTGTCTTTAGGTGACTTAGGGATTCAAGTATATTAGAAATGCTAGGGTCTTTTTATTTTTAATGCCACTAGAAATGAGAGAATAAAAGAAAAGTCCCTTAAATACTGTATGTTCTTTATAGACAAGAGTTAGGCTAGCTTTTAATACCTCTGTCAAAAATCACACACACACACACAAACACACACTCCAAAATAAGCTGCCAAACACAATCTCAGTCCAATTAAAAAGAGTAGCCACAAGAATGTATTGAAGTCTCCATACAATAAAATTTTACTGTATGAATACTGAAAATTAAAAGATAAAATAAAAGGAATTATTGTCACTACATTCCATTGCATTAACTACCTTCTTTTTGGATAATGCACTGCATATTATATTAAAGTCTCATATTGTACCCCAATAAATTTTTATTTAAAAGAAACTATTACAGAAAATCATTTCTATGATTCCATAAACAACCTTTGCTTCTACAACTATAAGCAGTACAGAACCCAAAATACTAAGTCTTTTAATTTAAGAAACATAGTACCCATGCAAGATAAGAGACTGTTATCAAAATATCAACTACTCTCAAAAAATAAAATAAAAGGAAGATAAAATATACATTATCTACCAAAGCACACAGGCTCTTCACTGGTGACTGAAACTAGTAACAAGCGAGCCAATTTAAAAATCCATAAGTCTCTGCTGGCCTACTTCTTTCAATATAAATAGGGGAAAAAGAACAAAACACTGCTTTACTATTCCGATGTGTAATCCTTATCTCTAAAGATTCTTGAAAGAACTACAATTAGTGCTAAGTGCTTTTTTCATCGTAAGTAACATATTAATTTCAGTGTGTCACCACTGAAATAATTTGCTGAACATCATCCCCCAAAAAATATGGAGAATATTTATTTAGCGTGTAATTTTTTTTTCTGCAAGGGGCATTGAAATATTAAGAAACTATTAGGTCAAGTAATAAGACAAGGACATTTTTCTGATTTTAGCCCATGCACGTGTGAATGGGAAATATCCATGCTGTGTGTATTGTGTGTTTCCAACATAAAAATATTTGTAAATACAGTAACTGGAGAGAAAAGTACAGTCAAAAGGTAACAGTGTATTGTGGGAAGGTTCTCTAGATTTGGTTACCCTTGAAGGCATTCTGCGCTGCGCTCGTTGCTGCAGTGGAAGCTGCATTTGCAGCTGCGGTCTGGACAGTTTTGTTGGACATCACGCCTGTTGCAAACTCTTGCTGGGCCTTCTCAAAACTAGCACCTGTTGTGCGATACAGTCCATGTACCTACGGAGGCACAAGAAAGTGGAGAAGATGAGCAGCAATCTACACATTCACTTCCAGCAGCTTGAAATTAATCTCAATGTTATTCAGAGATACAAGGACTAGATTCCAGTCAGGATTCCTATGGTCAGGAACAATAGCCCTGCCGGCACAAATATTGAAATATTTTCCAAATACAGGTTTTTTATTTTCTTCCCCAAGCAGAAGACATAATTATGGTAACTAGAACCAAAAATAATTTAAAGAACAATTTCTGGACCAACTACAAATCTGTGTTTTCTTTTGTACTTAGTTCATTAAGATATGAACGACATTAGAACAGAATGATTTAAACATAACAAAAGAGACAACCTGACTTTAATTTATGGCCCCAGACAATTTGAAGAGAATAATACCATATCTATTTCTAATTTGGTCACATACACAGCACGATTATAATCTAGTGATACCATTTGATCATTTAGCAAAGAAAGCACTATGAACATACTGTTGCTGTCCACTATATCATTTAATATTTTGGGTATAATAAGTCCTAAAGGATTTATGAAGAAATGCTGTGGGGAATTGTCTCTCCATACTGATCCGATACTAAAATCTTGAAGTTTATTTTCATGAGCAGGGTTCAAAACTTTTCTATCATAATACATTTTAAGCTGCATAATCAAATTATGAAGCCCATCAGTACATATCATGAGCCACTTAACACAAATTTTAAAAAGAAACTAATAATATAAATTAAAACAAGCATTCATTACATGACTAAAAACTTTGGGGGTGGGCAATAAGTGAACCAGCAATTAAATTGCACTGTGATTAGAACTAAATTAGAAGGTTCCCCCAAATGCAGTCAATGCATGTTTTAGGGATGGGCTAAGTACACCCAAGTGGATGTGGAATAAGAAAAAGTAGAATAGGTCACAGCTCATGTCAAGACACTTATTCTACAAGTGTCTACTGAATGTCTACTTTTGGTCTACTATAGCAGGCAGGTGAAGATTTGGTTTGGAGCTCAGGAGAGGAACAGGCTGAAGACGTGAACTTGGAAACCACTGATATATATTATCAACTAAAGATCTGTGTTCTCTCTCTCTGAATTCTTATGCTGAAACCCCAGTCGCCAATATGATGGTGGTGGAAGGTAGGCACTTGGGTGAAGCCCTCACAATGGGATTAGTGCTCTATAAGAGAGAGCTCTCCAGTCTCTCTTACCACATCAGGACAAAGAGGATGGCAATTTATAAATCAGGAAGCAGGCCTCAACCTGATACTGAATTTTCTCTAATGTGCCTTGATGTTATATTTCCCAGCCTCCAGAATTGTGAGGAAAAAAAAAATTTAATGTTCTTCAAGTCACCCAATCTATGATATTTTTGTTAGAGTAGCACAAAGGAACTAAGGTACCATATACATGGTAGCTGAAATCTTGGCCTGGATGAAACTGTGTTTAAAGAACATAAAGTAGAAAGAAAAGAAAGTCAGATACAGAAACCTATTAAGGTACTAGTATTTGAAAGGCATCTAAAGAAAGGAGGAATGATTAGAAGAGAAATGGCAATAACAGCCAGGTTCTTCTTACTAATGCCAAGGGAAGAAACTGTGTTCAAGAATGAAATCCTGGGTAAAAGATAAAAATACAAAGACAGCTAGGTGGTGGTGCATGCCTGTAATCCCAGAGACTCAAGAGGCTCAGGCAGGAGGATCACAAGTTCAAAGTCAGACTCAGCAACTTAGTGAGGCCCTAAGCAACTTAGCAAGACCATGGCTCAAAAAATATTAAGGGCTAGGGTTGTGACTCAATGATAAAATGGCTCTGGATCCCCAGTACAAAAACACAAAAGCAAAAACAAAGACACAGACAGCTCCAAGTACTTCTGATGTATTGGTGAAAGTGAATGCCATATTACTATGACTGAAGTATAAAATGGTCAGGGAGAGAAAGAGCACCAACAAATACACACACTGGTAAACCCTCCAATTCTTTTTCCCTAGTACTTTAGCACTACCATAAGTTTAGAAGTCATTATTTTTATTCCCTTTTCAAACCAAGTTTTCCACGGAAAATTAAAGATACAAACAAATTACTACTCCTATGTGGGAGAAAAGTAGGTCACAGTGAGTACAAATGATTGGATCCTGGAAAATAAGTGTATTAAAGAAATTTAATAAACCTTCTTTACACACTAAACCCAGTCACAGTGTAATGCAAGTACAAGTCCACTCGCCAGTCTTATCCCCTCTTCCCACAAGTCTGTGGGCATGTAACAAATAAATGTGACTTCAAACTTGTTTTACTATTATTTTCTTTCTCAAACTTGTATTAAACTGATCAGCTGGTGTATGTGTTCATGGCACCAGAGTTTAATTACTTAAAATGTAACCCAGAGTCTGGCAGAGCAGAGAGGTAAGGAGCAGCACATGCTTCCAACAGTCTATATCCATATAGACCCAGAGAGCCACCTAGAGGGAAAAGGCCACATACATATTCTGTGTATAATGCTCAAATGGCTATAAATCCATTAAAGGGTAACTTCTTTATTCCAGAGCCCCATGAAAGATAATAGGCCAATCATGATGATCAACATTTCAAAAGGCTTATTGTCCTGCTGTTTCAGCTGTATATATAGCAATGATTCACATTTCTTAGGAAATCAGGGACAAAACCTTAACACATAGGACTATAATATTTCTTTTATTTCATTTCATTTTATTTTTTGGTACTGGGGATTGAATCCAGGAATTCTCTATCTCTAAGCTATGCCCCAGCCCTTTTTAGTTTTTATTTTGAGGCAGGGTCTTTCTAAGTTGCCCAGGCAGGCCTAGAACTTGTATCCCTCTTCTCAGTCTCCTGAGTCGCTGGGATTACAGGTGTGCCTCACCATGCCTAGCTAAAGAACTATGATTTTTAAAAAAAGTAGCTGGGCACAGTGGTACACACCTATAATCCCAGCAATTTAGGAGGCTGAGCAGAAAGATCACAAGTTTGAATCCAGTCTTGGTAACATAGACTCTGTCTCAAAAAATAAAAAGAATGAGGATGTAGCTCAGTGTTAAAGTGCCTCTGGGTTCAAGCCCAATACCAAAAAATAAAATAAACAACTTAAATACTTGCAATCTTTCCTATTTATGAGAAATGCATTGACCTTAATATTTAGTTCTGTAAGTATCACAGGAAGGGCAATAGATTTGGTATCTACTAATTCTAATTTCCAGCTGACTGATCAACATTTGAAACTTCACCTTTACATCCCATAGAACAAGAATATGTGTTGTCCTATCTGCTCCTCAGAGTTTACCTATGGATCAAATCAGAATATATACCAATAAGTTAAATAATATAAATTAATTTTAAAGTGTCTGCAGAAGCGTCACAGCCAGGTGGAGATGCACCTGTTTCTGTTCATGTGCCTGCGCGCTCACTGTGGCTGTGTATGGCAACAAAAAGCTGTAAACCACAGAAAGTGAAGAACCATGGCACTTTATATGGAATAATCCAAACACATGTCTCCAATATGGCAGGTAGAATACCTTTTCAAGAAATGACATTTTGCCAAGTAATCCCAGCATCTCAGGAGGCTCGCAAGTTCAAAGCCAGCCTCAGGCAACTTAGCGATGCCCCTAAGCAACTCAACTCAACCCTAAGACCCCGTCTCCTAATAAAATACAAAAAAGGGGCTGGGGGATATGGCTCATGACTGAGTACCCCCAGTTCAATCCTTAGTACCAAAAAAAGAGAGAGAGAGAGAGAAAGAAAATCACATTTCTATTAATATAAGACCCCTGTCATATCAAAGTTATTTTAACTTTTATAAAAGCTAGTAAAATAAAAATGAGTTTTGAAATTATTTTTTCACATTCTTGTTTTGAGTTTTTAAAAAACATATGAATCTCTAAGTATACATTTTTCTAATTAAACATTTCCTAGAAACCCAGTATGAACTCTCCTGCCCATAGGCAGGGTCAGATATTCTTTTCATAACCCAGTTTCATGCAGTTGAAACCCACTCCTCCTTTGACATCTCAGGACTGCTGCTCTGTCCTTGGCTGTGCCTGCACTAGCTATTCTCTCCCTTCTGCAAGCACCTCTAGCACTTTGTACAGCTTAGGGCATGTACACTGTTCTTCTGCAGGGTTCATCTACTTGTCTTATACCCACATATGCTTTTAGTTATCTGAGGGCAAAGGGCTATTTTTTACTTGTTGTTACACCCCCTTATAAGACATAGCATAGTAACTTGCAGTAGAAGTCACTGAATAATAATTTGTCTGTCTGGAATTAAATGGTACAACATTGACCTCATTATTAAAAATAAAAGTTACCAAATAAGTAAGTGCAATATGGCTCTAACAGACTACCTGTGTTACAAGGTAAAATGGTTAGTTTGCAGTTACCTCAGAGGCTAATTGTTCTAGAAGCAAACATACTATTTCATACCTACTAGGAAAAGTAGAAAATAACAAGTGCTGGCAGGGATGTAGAACTGATGATTGGAATGTAAAATGATATAGGCACTGCAGAAAAGAGTTTGGAAGTTTTTCAAACAGCTAAACAGAAAATTACCATGTAACAATTATGACCATGTAACAATTCCACTTCTAGGTATATACACAAAAGAAGTGAAAGCAAGGACTCAAACAGTTCCTTCTAGACCAATCTTCACAAGCAGTATTATTCACAGAAAAAAGTGGGAAAAAACAAGTGTCTGGGCTGGGATGCGGCTCAGTGATAGAGCACTTGAATAGCATTGGAAAGGCCCTGGGTTTGATCCCCAGCACCCCCCCCMCACACACACACAAGTGTCCCACACATGAATTAAATAATATAGTGTATATACATATAGTGGAATAATGTTCAGTATACAACTATTCAATGCTACAACATGGATTAACCTTGAAAAAATTATACTATGAAATAAGCCAAGTACAAAAAGAAAATATTATATGATTCATTTATATGAAATATCTAGAACAGGTAATTCACAGAGGCAGGAAATATGTTAGAGATT